CCACCTAACCTCCTCACCTTCGCTCTTTTGGTGAAGGCGTGCAGGAAGTTCAGAGATGCTGATTTACTGAAGCAGGGGAAGAAAGCTCATGGGCAGGTGATGAAAAACGGAGCTATGGATTTTATTGTTATTAAAAACTCTCTTTTGAGCATGTACTGTGATATGAGACTGTTGGGCGAAGCCAGATTGTTATTTGATGAGAGCTCTGATTTGGATTTGATATCCTGGAACGTTATGGTGTCTGGTTATGGGAAGAGTGGGAATCTTAATGCTGCTCGTTACCTGTTTGATGAAATGCCTGAGAAAAATTTGGTTTCTTGGGGCGCCATGATAGATGCATGTGTGAGGGGTGGGGATTATGTGGAAGCTCTGAGATTGTTCAGTAGATCGCAATGTGAAGGAGTGAGGCCCGACATCGTTATGCTGGTGAGCACACTGAAGGCTTGCGGGCATGCTGGTTCGATCCGTCAAGGTTATTGGATTCATCTATACATTGAGCAAAACAAACTTGGTAGTAGTGATAAAGGTAGCAATGTCATCCTCAGCACCGCTCTCGTCGATATGTATTGTAGATGTGGGTGCATTGATGCAGCATTCGATGTGTTTGATCAGGTTACGAACAAAGATATCGTGCTCTGGAACGCGATGATTGGAGGGCTTGCGATGCACGGTCATGGGCGCCGCGCTCTCGAGATATTTGGTAGAATGATGGAGACGGGAGTGATGCCTAATGAGTCAACTTACATGGGAGTCATGTGTGCATGCTCACATGGTGGTATGGTTGATGAAGGAATTGAGATATTCGAGTCTATGAAGACTCGTGGTGTGGAACCTCAGAGGGAGCACTATGGCTGCCTGGTTGATCTCATGGGAAGGGCTGGAAGGATACGAAGAGCCGAAGAGGTGCTTCTCAGCATGCCAATGGAGCCTCAGGCAGAGCAATGGGGCGCCTTGATGTCTGCTTGCAGAATGCACCGCGAATTCGATGTGGGTGTTCGTGCCGGGAGGCATTTGATAGAGCTCGAACCACACGATGCCGGTCGCTATGTGATGTTGGCGAACGTGTACGCCGGCACAGGTCGATGGAAGGAAGCCATGGATGTGAGAAGGGAGATGGAAGAGAAGGGGGTGAAGAAGGAGAGGGGGTGGAGTTTGATTGAGTGGAATGGAAGAGTTGAAGAGTTTGTGGCTGGGGATTGGAGGCACCAACAGAGAAGAAAGATATATGAAGTGGTTGGGGAGATGGAGAGGAGATTGGAGAAGGTTGGGTATGTGAAGGATACATCTGAGATGGTGATAGACATGGATGGTGAGGAGGAGAAGGGTGTGGCAATGTCTCATCATAGTGAGAAGCTTGCCATGGCTTTTGCAATTTTGAATATTGGAGAGGGGGTGATTGTAAGAATTGTGAAGAATCTTAGAGTGTGTAGGGATTGTCATAATTATACTAAGTTGGTCTCAAAGGTGTATGGGAGGGAGATAGTTGTGAGAGATAGGAGTAGGTTTCATCACTTCAAAGAAGGGTTTTGTTCTTGTAATGATTACTGGTGATCTATCAAAATAAGAAATTGATTGTTTATGAAGGATTTGGATGGTGTAAATATAAATAATACATTTTAGGTGTTACACATATAAATACATAAAGATTGGGTGGCATGTATGCAAACGCCACTGTGCATGTGAGTGTGCAAATTATTCTTATAATGTGATCATTAACTTATATAAAACAAAATGTCCATTTTCATACATACATACATACATACATACATACA